ACTGAGCCATATAAACTGCTGACAAACACTGAATGTAACCTCCTCGACGAGGGCAGTCCAGGGAAGCTACGATTGGCTTTATTCTTTGACGGGCACTTCAATGAGTTCAAAAAGAACCTAACGATGGTGAGGAGAAGGTTGGTGTTTTTGTTGTTGTTGCTGTTCCCGAGCTGCAGGCGAGTTGGATTTATTTTCTTTAGGAAGATGTCACGGCCCCGTCCCTCCTGCCCCGACCCGGTCCCCGACGAAGTCAGAGCCCTTGACCAAAAGCGAGATGCAGATGCGCAGTCCCTGGCCCCACCACCCACATCCCGGGGCTGGAATCTGGCAGATCTGAAAGTAGCACTAAAAACAAAGATAAATCTCCTAAAAGAAAAAAAAAAAAAGGAAAAAAAAAAAAAAAGAAAAAAAAAAGGAACAAGTTCTGTTTGCTTTTTGAACACTCTGAGTGTCGTAGCGACTCCTGTGCGCACCGCGGGCCCCTCGTGGTTCCCCCGAGCACGCGAGACAAAGTATTAGAACCGAGAAACCAAAACCAAGAACAAACCGCAAAGACCCAAGAAACAACCTTTTTGTTTTATTTTGTGTTGTGTGGCGGGGCTGGGGGGCTCCCCCCGCGCCCCCCGCAGCCTGAAAACCATTCGAGTTCCACGGCGAGGGCCCCCGGGGCTGCTCCTCTCCCCCCCCCCGCCACAGGGACCACAGGGAGGGGACCCCCGGGGTCCCCCCCCAGCCGTGAATGTCGGGTTCGACCCGTGCAGACTGCAAGCCCGCTCTCACCTTTGCCTTCAGTAAGAAACCAAAGGAAAAAAAAAAAAACCAACCCCTTCCATTCGAAATACTGGCATGAGCACGTGGATTGTTCGGTTTGGGGTTTTTTCTTTTTTCTTTTTTTTTTTTTTTTCTCCTTTCCTCTTTTGTTCTGTTTCGTTTCGTTTGTTTCTTTGTTTCTCTCCAAGGATGCAAGGAGCTGTTCAAACCTCTTCTCCCGGCTGACTTTTTCTGGGCTCAGCAGCACCGGGCGCGTCTCGAAAGGAGCAAAAAAAAAAACCCCCAGCAAGGATGAGCCCCCCCCCCCCGGGGCGACCCGTCGGCAGGAGCAGCCGCGCAGCGCGGGGTAACGTACGCCGCTGCTGGCGCGTGAGGCCTGGGGGCACGGGGGGGGCTTCGAGTCGCGCCGCTCAGCCCAAAGCCCTCGTGGTGCCGGAGCGGGGTCAGAGCCGACCCCAAATGGGGCGGGTGGGGAAGGGGGGACGTGTCCCTGAGGACTTGAAGGCATCTGTAGCAAGCTCTGTGTCTTTACAATATCCTATGTGTAAATGCTGCACCTCTGTATATTATGCACATAAACATTTCTTTGAATACGATAGGACAGACCTCATCACCAGTCAGGTATAAACGACTCTTCCTCTTCTGTGTCTTGGTGTTCTCGCGTGCGTGTGCGTGCCGGTGGGGCGCGTGCGGACCCGTGTGTCTGGGCGATGTCTGAGCTCCCTTCCGATGCAAAGGAGAAGGAGGAAAAAAAAAAAAAAAAAGAGGAAAATAGCCTTACTTGATCCAGTCTTATCGGTATTGTTCGTCAACTTGAAAACAATAAAGTGAACGCATGGAAACCTCTGGCCCAGCTGGCGGTGCGTGACGGTGGATTTCCCTGATGCCGGTGTGCCGCGTCCCGGGGTGGGTTCGGCTCTGCCCCGTGCTGCCGGGCTCCTTCCCTCTTCTCTTTATCTTCATTTTTTTTTCCCCGAGGCCGTAAGGAGCGAGCTCCCGGTGGCCAGACCCAACCTGCGCTTTCTCTGGTGCTCCGTGCTCGGTTCCCGGGGGTCCTTGGAGCCCCGCGGTGAGGGGGGCGCAGGCTGTGCCGCGCGGGGCTGGCTGTCCGTCCTGTCTGTCCGTCCGTCTGGTCCTTGCCCCAGGAGCCTGGCCCAGGACGTGGAGGCAGGCACGGACTGGGTCGGGGAGAGCCCGGTTGGTGCCTGGCTGGGGAGTGGGGCTGGGGGCACAGGGGGGCCCCCCCCCGATCCCTCCCTGCTCCCCTTCTTTAGGCAGCGGGGAAGGGGCACCCGGGGGTCTCGCTGCTGATGGCCTTGTTCTGTTCCTGAATTTTGCACTATGTGAGAAGTGGCCAGTTTGGGAAGGGGGGGTGGGGGGGTGCAGAGGCACCCCAACAGCAAAGGAGAGCGGTGTCGGGGAGGGGGCTGGGGGGGGGGGCTGCAGAGTTTGGAGGGCATTAAAGGAAACGGCCCTGACCTGCTGGGCCTGAGAACCCTTTTTCCTACTTGAAGGTACTCACCAAAACGGCTGCTTTCGTTGGATTTACGGACCCGCACGCGCTGGGATGTGACCGGGGGCAGGCGGGGAGGTGCTTTGGAGGGGGCTGGTGCTTGGGGCCAGCTCTTGTCCTTCTTGGCCCCAAAAGGCTCTCGTGGCCCTGGTACGTGCTCCGTACAGCACTTGGCTCTGGCAGCGGGGCTGGAGGTGATGCTTCGCTGCGGGGCTGCTCGCTGGCAGCTCCCTGGGCTCGGCCGTCCCGTGAGGGTTCCTGGTTCCTTCCCTGGAGCCTGTGCTCCCCTCCCCGGATCCCCAGAGCAGCAGGGCAGCGGCTTTCCCACTTCTTCCCAAATTCTTGATGCCTGGGACTGTTCAGTGGGTGCCGCTGGCACCAGGCTGGGCTCTGCCCAGGGCTGGGACCAAGCACGTGCTTGGAGCGGCGAGTGGCAAGCTGGATTTGGGGCTGGATGCTGAGAAATGGTGGTGGTGAGCAGGGAGGATCCGGTGCTGCTGCTGAGAGGGCTCCTGGCCCCGGCGCTGCCCAGCCTGGCCGGGGGATGTTGGGTGCGTGGATCCGCGGGTCTCACCGGGGGCTCTCGTAGCGTTATGGATTTGTGAGTCCTCCGAGACCCCTTTCAGAATCCTTTTAAAGGCATCCGGTCAGTTTTCCCCTTTAGTTTTTCTCCTCGACGTACGTGGAAGGGAGTTTAGAAAGATTTGCTTCATTTCTCATCTGTCCTGCGTAAGGGAAGAGCTGGAGCCCTCGCTCCCCGCTGCAGCCAGCAGAGCCTCGCGGCCCCCCCGGGCTGTGCCATGCGGCCATCGCTCCGGGCACATTTTGGGGACCTGCTGCTGCAGCACCTCGGCTCCTGCAGCACCCTGCTGTGGCTCCTCTGCCCTTGGCTCGTCCAGGGTGACCACGGTGGCATGGGGAGGTCTTGGGCGAGCTGGGCTCGCTCAGCATCTCCCTGCCGGGCTGTGGCTGTGCCAAACAGGGGGAGCGGGCGCTCGGCGGTGCCGCTCCCCAGACGTCTCCAAAGCAATAGAGCCCTGGGCAGGGGCTGAATTCTGCCTGCGGGGTGAGCAGGGCCGGGGCTGGGCGCGTGCTGTGGCACCGGTGTGACCGCACGGTTTGGTCGGCCGGGGGCTGCCCCCCACGCACAGCCCCTGGCGCTGGTTTTGGGGCTGCTTCGGAGACCTTCAGGTGTTGTTCCCGGGGAAGGGGCCTGGCTGCTCTGCGTGCCCGGGGGCACCCGCACTTTACAGATGCCCCAGAGCGAGACGAGCCTGGTGGGGGGCGCTCCCGTGTCCCCCCCGCTGGCTCCTGGCCGTGTCCCAGCACCGGCACAGTGCGCCCGGCTTGGGCTGCAGCGGGAAGAGGCAGCGCGGGGCGGGCAAAGTCTCTCCAGGCACGTTTGCGAGGTGGTTTTAGGGAACGCCGAGCTGTTTGAATTTGTGTCTTTCTGCACTGTTCACACCTACCTCTTGCAATAAGCGGGCTGGGGCGCACACCTGCAGAATCCCTTTCTTGCTCCGGGCCCCGCAGCCGGGAAGGCGCCGAGCGAGGGCGGGCGCTGCCCGCGTCCACACCGGGCAAATCGCCTGCCCCAGCCCGGCGCTGCGTGCGCCTCGCTTGTAGCAGCTGCTCCATCTCCTCGGAAGGTACTTTTTACTTTAACTCCCCGGCTTTTTTTTTCCCCTCCAGTGCACTGAAATGTGGAACCTGCTGAGCAAAAACCAGCGTGCAGCCGTGCTGCTGTTCGTCAGCAGCAGGGCCTCCGTTGGCAGTCATTCTTGCTGGGAACCCATAACGTGGATGCCTTTGTGACTTGGGCAGGGAGGGAGAGGCGAGGCCGGCAGCTCGAGGCGCCGCTGCCCTCGCTGGAGGGACGCTCCCGGTGCCCTCCAGGGTCCAGGCTTCTCCCCTCCCTCTGTAGGTGCTTCTTCCTTCAACCACTGGTTTAAAGCACAAACGCGTTGCCTGGCGGGGCCGGGCGGGCGGTGGGACCGGCTCTGCTCCCAGATGTGGCCCCGCGCGCCCGCCCCGCAGAGACCCGCCGCAAGTAGGGTAGAGTTTTGATGTGCAATTTAAAAGTAGACAAAAATAATAATAATAATAATAATAATAAAAGTATGAAATCCCCCCGGGGCTGTCACGGTGGCCTCGAGGTGCCGGGTGCCTTGGTGGGCAAACTCTGAGCCATGTCCCCTGGAGCTTGCTGGCTGCTCGCCCTTGTCCTGAGAGCAGGCGCCCCAGAGAGCCCCGAAATCAGTCCTGAGAAACGAAGCACTTGCCTCTGGGCAGAGGAAATCAGAGCGAGCAAGCAAAATCCCTTCTACTCGTGCAAGGGAAACACGAAGCCGTTCAACCCCCCCCCCCCTCCCCGCCCCGTGGTTCTAGGGATCATTAGAGGATAGGTGGGAGATCGAGGAAATCAGCCCAAGCCATCCGTCCCCGCAGCGCAGACGCTATCCTGTCGGCCTCGTCCTTACCCACGCGTGAGCCTAGTGAGCGGTTACTTTTGTCTCGGATGTTCCATACTTGTATTTTCAGAAATCCTGCATCACCTTTGGGGAGGGAGGGAGTGGGGGGGGGGGGGGAGAAAGAACTAAAAAGAAATTAAAAAAAAAATAAAAAAAAGGAAAAAAAAATAAAAGAAAAAGAAAAAAGCATTCAGACTTGATCTATTTTATACAATGTAAGCTGCGACCAAGTCCTGTTATTCATATTGTGGCTTTGAATCAATTATGTTTATTAAAATGCTATTGCTTCTATTCCCCCGCTCCTGTCTTCCTTCCTCCGGTACGGGCTGGGCCAGGGAGCTCGGGGTGGGGGAACGCGCTCGGCCTCGGCCCCACAGCCGGGGGCCAAGCACTTCGGGGCTGCCCCGCACTGGGCACCCCAGTCCCCAGGAGGGGCTGTGGGGCAGGGCTGAGCCCCCCCATCTCCTCCCGGTGGGTCCGAGGGGCTGGGGGCCGGCAGCACCGTGCCTGGAGACCCCCCCAGGTCAGCTTCCAGGCGTTTCGGCTTTGCAAACTTCCAGGCTGGGGGACGCCACCGTCGGTCTCATGTGGAGGGGAGAAAGTCCAGTCCCGGGGGTGCGTTTCAGGGTCCCACCAGCTTGGCCGCGCTTCTCCAGTTGGCGGGGTGGGGGCGAGCGGGGCCAAACCCCCCCCCCCGGTCAGGGCTGTAACCAGGCACTGACGTGGCCCTCGGCCAGGGCGATGCCCAGCATGATGCCGCTGCCCAGCAGGAACCCCGCGTTCTGCAGGACGAAGTGGCCCCAGGTGCCCTCGCCAGGACCCCGCAGCACCTCGGGGAGCTGGGGGCAGAGCGGGGGGGGCTCAGCGGGGCTGGGACATGGCCTGGCCCCGCTGCCCCCCTCCCCGGCTGCCCCCTCACCATGTCGGCCAGGGCCACGTAGAGGAAGGTGCCGGCGGTGCCGGTGAGGATCCATGGGGTGAGGTGCGCCGCGCTCTGCCCCACGGCCGCCCCCGCCGCCGCCCCCAGGCAGGAGAGCAGAGCCGAGAGCAGGTTGAGGAGCAGGAGGGTGCGCGGTGCCATCCCCGCCCGCAGCAGCACCGCCAGGTCACCTGCGGCACGAGGAGGGTGGGTGGCAGGGCTGGGGAGCCGGGGAGGGGGTGCTGGGGGCCGGGGGGCAGGCACTTACCCAGCTCGTGGGGCAGCTCGTGGCAGAGCACGGCCAGCGCCGTGCTGAGGCCGCTGGAGAGGCTGTGGGAGAAGGAAGCACCTGCGGGAAGAGAGCACGTCCCCACGCGTCCTGTGTCCCTGTGCACCCCGTCACCATGCATCCCTGTCCCTATGTACCCCATGTCCCTGTGCACCCCCTGTCCTCCTTTTCCTGTGCATTCCTGGCCCCATGCACGCCATGCCCTTGTGCACCTCTGTCCCCATGCACCTGTCCCCAAGCATCTGTCCCCATGCACCCCATGTCCCTATGCACCCTGTCCCTGTGCACCCATCCCCGTGCACCCCATGTTCCTGTGTACCCCATGTCCTCCTGTCCCTGTGCACCCCATATCCCTGTGTATCCCCGTCCCTGTGCAGCCCCATGTCCCCGTGCACCTGTCCCCACGCATCCTGTCCACTCCCCATCCTCCCCATGCACCCCATCCCCGTGCACCCCATGTCCTCATTTTCCTGTGCACCCCTGTCCCCGTGGACCCGATGTCCCTATGCATCCCTGCCTCTCCTGTGCCGGTGTACCCCATGTCCCCATGCACCTTTGTCCCTGTACACTGCTTTTGTCTCTGTGCAGTGCTTTCCCCATGCACCCCATGCCCCTGTGCACCTCTGTCCCTGTGCACCTCATCCTCCATGCACCCCTGTCCCTGTGCACCCCATGTCCCCATCCCCATGCATCCCTGTCCCCATGCATCCGTCCCCATGCACCCCATGTCCCTGTGCATCCCTGTCCCTATGTACCCTGTCCCTGTGCACCCATCCCCGTGCACCCCATGTCCCTGTGTACCCCATGTCCTCCTTTCCCCGTGCACCCCATGTCCCTGTGCACCCTGTCACCGTGCATCCCTGTCCCTGTGTACCCCCGTCCCTGTGCACCCCATGTCCCCATCCCCTTGCATCCCTGTCCCCATGCATCCGTCCCCAAGCACCCCCATCCCCGTGCGCCCACGCCCTGGTGCTCCAGCAGCCCCATTTATCCCCGTGCCGCTCACCGATGGCCAGCCCATCCGTCAGGTTGTGGATGCCGTCCCCCAGCACCACCATCCACACCAGGTCAGTGGCCCTGGGGCTGGGGGGCAGCGCGGGGCCGTGGGAGTGTCCGTGGGAGTGTCCGTGGGGGGGGCCGTGGGGTTTGGGCTCCAGCTCGGGGTCGGGGCCGTGAGGCATCGCAGCTCAGCCCCTGCGGTGGGAGAAGCACGGGGTGGGTGCGGGGACCGGGTCCCTGGGTGCTGCAGAGGGTGAGGGGGGGTCCTTACCGCCGCGAGACGGGGCCAGGACCCCAGTGGCCGCGTCGGGGGTCTCTCCGGGGGGGCGTCGCTGGGGGAAGAGCGGAGGTGTCGGGAGCGAAGCCGGGACGTGGCTGCAGCCCCGTGCCCTTCTCGGCCCCCGTGGCTCTCACCGTGGCCTCGCGGCCGCGCCGCAGCATCCCCAGGAGGAGCTCCACCACGAAGAGCAGGTAGATGCCCCCCAGCACCGCCAGCCCCTGCAGCACCGCCGCGGCCCACGGCTCCCCTGGCGTCTCCTGGTGCCGCCCCTGGGCCTGGACACGGAGGGGGGGACCAGGCTCAGGGTACCCGCAGCCCCGGCCCGCACGCCCCGTGCCACCCCAGGGGGGTACCTACGTGGGGCCAGAGGTGGAGCAGGGCGTCCCCGCAGAGTGTGCCCACGGCCAGCGCCACCAGGAAGGCCAGCAGCGAGCGGAAGAAGCCGCGGCTCAGCAGCGGGACGAAGCCGACGGCCAGGGCGGACGGCAGGCTGACGAAGGTGACGGCCAGCAGCCCCCAGCCCAGCGCTGCGGGAAGGGGGGGGGGAGACGGGCACGGCCACGGCGTGGGCATGGGGACGTGGGGACGGGGGATGCAGGGTGGGGGGGACCCTGGGGGGTGCAGGGTGGGGAGCCCAGGGCTGGGAATGTGTAATGGGAAAATGGGGGGGGTGGGGGTAGGATGGGGGGCGGCTGGGGATGCGGGGAGGGGGCTGCAGGGAATGGGGACGGGGATGGGGACCAGGGGATGGGGGGAGCAGAGGTCAGGGGGAGCCAGGGCTGGGGATGCAGGAGGGGGGAACCAGGGGATGGACAACGCAGGGCTGGGGGGGGGGGAGGCCAGGGAGGGGTTGGGTTACCTGGCCACAGGCCCCCCCCCGGGGGAGGCAGCGTCACCTCGTCGCGGTGCTGGATGCAGACGCGGCTGTCGATCTGGTAGAGCAGGGCCGGGCAGAGCAGCGTGAACTGCTCGGGCGTCAGCTGCGACACCGAGGCCAGCCCAAAATTCACCAGCAGCTGGGTCACGTTGAGGCACTGCGGGGTTGGGGGGGGGGGGGGGATGCAGAACCCAGCGGTGAGCGGCTTATGGGGGGGGGGGGGGAAAAGAAGCATCTCGGGGAGCAGCCCCCAGCCCCACTCACGTCATCGTGCGGGTGGTCGTAGCCGGAGTGGTCCAAGCCCAGCACCCTCCCCAGCAGGCTGAGGCCGGGCTGCTCCCACCGGGGTGGGCCGGGGCCCCCGCCGCCCCCAGGGACACCCCCGGGGCTGGGGGGGGCTCGGCGGCAGGCGGCGGCTCCGTGCGGGGGGCTCGGGGCTGCGGGGAGCGGGCAGGGGTGAGCCCCGGGTGCGAAGAGGAGCGACGGGATGGGGATGAAGGGGGCGAATGTTGGGTGGGGGGTGTGTGGCTACCTGGGGGGGTGCCCCCCGGCCGCAGCCCCCCCGCCGTGCTCCCAGGCGGGGTGGCGGTGCCGATGCTTCTCCTCCTGCACCTCCAGCAGGTCGAGGTGGCTGACGTGGCCGTGGCCCAGCTCCTCGTGCTGGATCTGCACCACCTGCACGCGGCCCAGCCCCAGGCTGCCCAGCAGCCGCGCCAACCCGCTGGAGGGCAGGGTGCCGTTGGTGCCGTAGAGCCGGAACAGCTGCTGCAGGTAGTACCCGGCCTCCTGCGCCGTGTCCGTGTCTGCGCCCACCTCGGGCAGCGCCGACGGCCACGGCTCCCCCCGGCCCCCCCGGAGCGCCAGCAGCCACAGGCAGCCCAGCAGCACCCGGCCGGGGCCCATTGGGGACGGGGGGACGGGGATGGGGACGGGGGCAGGAGGCGGCGGGGCTGGGTCCTGGGGGGGTCCTGGAGGGTCCTGGGAGGTCCTGGGGGGTCCTGGGGGGTCCTGGGGGGGGGACAGGGCTGGAATGGGGGCGCTGCGCCACGGGGATGCGGTGCCCGCGATGCTCCGGGGAGATGCGCCCCCAAATCCCCCCCCCACACGATGCTGCCTCCAGCCCCCAGGCAGCACCCAGCCCTGCAGCCCCCCTGGGGGGCTCCCCCCGTGTTCTCAGGGCTCAGTTTGGTGACCCCCCCCCCCTCCCGGACCCCACCTCCGCGCCCTCTGCCCGCCCGGGGGGGCGGCTGGGAAGCAACAGGAGGCACCGGGGGCACAGCTCGGGGCCACGTGTCCCCACATGGGACCCAGAGCCATGGGATGGGGAGGGGATTTTTGGGGGGGGGCAGCGAGCTGCCAGCCCTGTGCACACCCCCCCCCCACATGGGGTCAGGCACCCCGGGATGGGGGTGACGGCGCTGGGGGGGGGCCACCCGGTGCCACTTGTCCTTGAGGGAGGTTTTGCAACGGGGCAGGTTTGTGCCGGGGGTTAATGTTTCACCGCGCGGGGCGATAACGGCGGGGGGAGCACGGCCGCCCCCCAGCAGGGCACGTGCCCCCCCCCCAAAAAAAAAACAACCCACCCGTGTCCCCACCAGCGCCCCCCACATGGCTCTGCCCCCTGCCCAGCTCCCACCCTGCTGCCAGGGAGGACAACCCCCCCCCCCAGCCCCCCGAGGGACAATTTGGGAAGGGGGGAACCACGGCGCAGGGATGGGGACACCGGGGGGGGGGGGGCACGGGGTGGGGGGGGCCATGGGGCTCATCCGCCCCTTCCAGCCAGGACTCACGGATGCCATGGGGGCAGGAAACCCCCCCAAATCTGGGACCTGACACCCACCAGTCCCCCCCCCCACAGCACAGGGTCCCATGGGTGCCCCCCCCTCCCCACCACCATGGGGCGCGTGGTCCCCAACCTTACCCCCCCCCCTTGGCGAGGCCTCACCCTGCCGGGTGCTGCATGGGCTCAGCCCGGCCCCCCCCCAGCTGCCTTGGGGGGGTCTCAGTCCCCCACCCCTGGGGCTCACCTGGTGTCGTGGAGTGTTATTTTTTTGGGGGGGGGGCCGCGCTGTGCTGACTGTGGGGGCCGGGGACACGCCGCTGCCCGGCCCCCGTCCCCGTCCCCGTCCCCGTGCCGCGGTTGCGCCGTGTGCTGCACCCAAACCGGGGGGGGGGCAACGGTCACCGGGCGCCGCACAGAACCAGCCCCGGGAGGGGCCGCGGGGGGGGGGGGAGGGCCCAAACGGGCGCGGGGCTCCCCCCACACACAGGGTGGGCGTCGCGGGCAGGGAGCAGGCGAGGCGCGGGCGTGAGCTCCACCTTTATTAACGCCCCCAGCAGAGCCCCCAGCCGGGTGGCAGCCAGGTATGGGGGGGCACAGGGCCTGTGCCCCCCCCTGGGGGCTGCAGGCGGGAGCCGAGCGGCTCAGCCCCTCGTGCCCGGGACCCTGCACGTGGCCAGCCCGGGGCAGGGGTCCCCCAGTGAGTGGGGGCGGCCACGTCCTCGCCCCCGGCAGCTGCTGGGGGGGGGCAGGAGCCGGGGGGGCCGGGACCCCCGTCAGGGCCCGCGGGGTGGGGGTGGGGGTCCGGGGGGGTCCGTGCCCGTTATCTCTTGCCGCTCCTGCGCGTCTCTTTGCCGTTGCTGACGGGGCCGCTGGCGGTGCCGGGGTGTCCGGGCTGGCTGCGGGTGATGCGGCCGCTGGGGGGGTGCGCGGGGGCGCTGGGGGGGTGCGCGGGGCCCCCCGGGCTCAGCCCGTTCCCGTTCTGGCTGTCGGGGGCTGGAAGCAGAGCACGGAGGTTGGGAGGGGGGGACATCGGGGGGGTAGGGAGGGAATCGGGGAGGTGGGGAGGGAATTGGGGGGGTGCTGATGGCCGGGGGGGTGCACCCCCGGGGGGTTTCGCTGCCCTACCTGGGGGGGCGGCGGGGGGGCCCTGGCTGCTCTGCGCGGCGGCCGGACTGGAGCTCTCGTTCTGGGCCTGCGGGGATGGAGATGGGGCTGTGCTGGAGCGTGGGGGGCGGCCGGGCCGGGGGGGGGGGCGGCCCCCCCAAAAACACCCCTGCCCCCCCCCCCCAAAAAAATCCCCAATCCAACTCACGCCTTTGCTCTGCGACTGCTGCGCCACGTACTCGGGGTTGGGCTCACTGAAGTTGGGCACCTCGGAGTACACCATGCAGAACCTGCGGGCACGGGGGGGGGCGGTGGGACCCCCGCAACCCCCCCATGACCCCCCCCCACCCCCCAAACCCCCTCCTTACTCTCCGATCTTCTGCAGGTCGCCGCCGCGCCCCGTGTACAGCGTCAGGCAGCCCTTGAACACCGAGGCGTAGCTGCGGGGGACGGGGCCGTGAGGGGGGTGTTTATGGGGGTGGGGGGGGGGCACAGACAGGACCCCCCCCCCACGTCCCCCCCCAGCCCAGTCCCGTACCCCTTGGTGAGGCGGATGATGTCCCCGGGCTGGATGAGGTTCCCGACGTCGTCCCACACCGAGATGTTGATGCTGCCGGTCTTGTCGGCCACCTTACACGTCCGCACCTCGTGCCCGTCCTTCGTCTTCGTCACCCGGCCTGGGGGGGGGGGGGGGGGGCACCGTCAGGCTCTGGGGGGGGGTCCCCGAGGTGGGGGTGTCCCCGTAACCCACGCCCCCCTTCCCCCCAAACCTGTCTCCAGCACGATGAAGATGAGGTTGAGGTTCTTCAGCCCCGGTTTGATGTCCTTCACAAACGTCTCGGCGCTCATGGTGCCGGCGGGGGCCCTGCGGGGATGGGGGGGGGTCACCGGGGGGGGACACCGGGGGGGGGGGGACACAGGGAGGGGGGGGCATGGAGCGGGAGGGGGTAAATGGGGGGGGCACCGGGGGGATGGGGACGGGAGGGGGGGAGGCACCGGGGGGCACCGGGTTGGGAACACCGGGGGTGGGGGGGGGGGGCACCGGGGGGTGGGGGGGGGTCTGGGAGGTTGGGGGGGCACCGAGGGGGGGGCGCAGTGGGGTGAGGGGGGGCACCGGGGAGGTGGCACCGGGGATGGGGCCGTGGGGATGGCACCGGGGGGCTGGGGGGGTACCGGGAGGGGCGGGGGGGGTACCGGGATGGGCCCGGGGGGGGTACCGGGAGGACGGGGGGGGCACCGGGGATGGGCACGGGGCACCGGGGGGGCGGCAGCGGGGTGAGGGGGGGCACCGGGGGGTACCGGGGATGGGGATGGGGCCGGGGGGGTACCGGGGGGGTACCGGGGCTGGGGCCGTGGGGCCGGTCCCGCGGCCACGGGGGGGGCACCGGGAGCAGCAGCGGGACCCCGGGGCCCCTCGGGAGCCGTAACCGGGGCCGGGCCCCCCCCGGGGCGGCGCTGCCGGGATGGGACCCGGCCCCGCCCCCCCCCTCCCGCCCCCTCCTCCCCCCTCCCGCCCCGCCACCGGGGGGCGCTCGCGCCCCGCCCCCGCCCCCGCCCCCCCCGCCGGCCGCCGACCTGCCCGAGCGCCGCCGCCGCGGGCATTCCCGGAAGTGAGCGGCCGCCACCGGCGTCAGCCAATCAGCGCGCGGGAGGCGGGGGACGTCCCGCGAGGACAGCGAATGGCGAGGCGCAGGGGGCGGGACTAAGGGCGGGGCTACGCCTCAAGCCCCGCCCCCTCCCCCCCCCTCCCACCCGCGGGGTCCGCCCCGACCACCGAGTTCCGGGCCCCGGGCTCCCAGAGCGTCGCTTCCGGCGGGGCGGCCGCTTCCGGCGGGGCGGGGGCCGCGGCGCAGCGCGGCGGGGCCGGGCGGGGGCAGGAGGCGGCGGCCGCGGCCGGGCCCGAGCCCGCGGCGTCCCGGAGCCGGCCCGGTGCGGGCGGTACGTGGGGGGTGCGGGGGGTGCGGGGGGGGGGGGTGAGGCCCCGGTACCGGCACCGGGCGGGCTCCGGGGCCCGGTTGTGCCGCGGGGGGAGGGGGGGGCCGGGAGCGAGGCCGGGGCCTACCCGGGGGCTGCGATCGCTTCGCGGCCTCCTCCCGGTGCGGGGGCCCCGCGGCTCCTCGGGGGGGGGGTTCCGGGGCTCGGGGCGGACAAAGGGCGGCGGGGAGCGGCCGGGGGGCTCCGCGGAACGGGGGGGGGGGGGAGGGGAACGGCCGGGGAACGGGGGCGGCGGTGGATGGGGGGTGGGGAGTGGGGGGGGGTGAGGGGGGTGCCGGTAACGGGATGGACCGAGGCAAACGGGAACCGGCACCGGGCTGCGGGGTGCGGGGGTGCCGGGACCGGGTGCCGGTGGGGGGATGGGAGGGGGGAATGGATGCAGGGACGGGGACGGGGGGGGAGGAACGGGGGTGTCGGCACCGGGCTGAGGGCCGGGGGGCACCGGCGGCTTTGGGGCCGGCAGCCCCGTGAGCCCCGGGGCCTCCCCGTTCGTGGCCGGGTTCCCTCCGAGCACAGCCCGCGGAGAGGCCCGGCACCGGGCACCGGCACCGTGCTCCCTACGGCACCGGGAGCTGCTGGGGGGGGCTGCTCGGCCCCCACCGGCCCCGAGGCTACGGCTCCCCCAGCCCCAGCCCCGCCGCCAGCCCTCGCACCGCTGGCAGCAGCGAATTGTGTGAAAAAAAAATAAAAAACACCAAAAAAAAAAAACAAAAAAAAAAAACAAAAAAAAACCGTTGGATTTGTGTCAGGAGATGCGAAGGTGGCATTTGGGGAGCTATTTTTAGCAGCATTGCGTAAGGGCAGAGCAGAGCCTCTACCTCCCGGGCAGCCGTTCCCCTCCCTGCCCGGGAACGGGGGAACGGGGCGGCCCCCGGGCTGCCTCCCCCCCCCCAGCCCCATCCCCGTCCCCCCCTTCCAGCCGGGGCCGAGGCGAGCGGCGTTTTGGCCCAGGGTTGGAATTTCGGCGGCGCGGTGCCACGGGGAGGCGGTGGCGGCGCTCAGCTCGCAGCCACGAGCGAGGGCTCCCGGCCCCGTCAGGGCTCCCGGGCTTCCCCCGTGACACAGAGGGGGGAGAAATCCCTCGGGGCGCCCTCCCCGACCCTCTAGAGGGGGATCCACTGACTCGGCCCCCCGAGGCACAGGGGCTCGTGGTGCAGCTTTGCATCGTTTCTGCAGAGCTTTAGGGTTATTTTAGGAGTGTTGCAGGGGTGTTTTGGGAACGCAGGTTTCCCATGGTGGGAACGGTCCCTTTGTGGGGCCAAACCTCCGACCCTCGCAGGGAGAGGGCCTCAGGGGGAGCTGGGAGGCCGGGCGCAGCCTTCCCGTTGTTCTCACCCTGCTCATTTCTCCTTTTTCTCTCTTTTTTTTTTTTCTCCCCGTCACCAGATCAGTCCCGCGTGGCCTCGCGACTCTAGCGGCAGCGGCTCGTGGCCCTCGAAGGATGCCGGCTTAAGCTGTACGAGGAGGAAGGGGAAAAGATGGGCCACTGGGAGCAGCTCCCTGCAACGAGTAACCCAGCCCCGGCCCTGCCTCTGTACTGCTTAGGGAGGAATTCTGCCGCGGAAGGTAAAAATCGGGCGCTTTTCACCCATTTTTCTGCTCCCCCCGCGCGGGCGCTGAGTTTCTCCCCGTGCACGTGAGCGGTCGGTGTCCTGTCGGTGCTTTTATGGCACGGCGCCTCCTGGGCAGGGCTTCGGGCTGCCCTCCGAGGGTCTTGATCGTTGGAAAGCTTCGGCTCTGGTATCGAGAGAGGTCTCGCTGGGTCTGGAGGCTGCTCGGCCGCTGCTCGGCGCCTTCACCCAGTCACCGCTTCGAGGTCCCGGCCGTGCGAGGGTTTGAGCGGGCTCAAAGGGCGCGCCTCGAGCTCTGAGGCCGTTAAGGAGCCTTTGTTACCATCTGCGGGGAAACGGCGAAATCTTCCTTAAATTCCAGAGGGTAACAGGTTGCCGAGAGTCCTGCCAAACTGGATTAAAGAACTGCCCCTGCCTGATCTCCGCAGCCCCGCTTTCACGCGCTGCTCCCCAAGGAGCGGGGCAGACACTGGAATTTCCAGCGCGCCCTCCGCAGAGGCAGCTTCCCCGGGACTCGCAGGGAAGGCGCTTGGTTAACAAAACCTCCCGGAGCGCGCGGAGGCATCGCGAAGGCTGGCAGGGAGCTGGAGGCGATGCAAAGCGGCCTCCAAAAGGAGCTCAGCTCCAGGTGGAAGCGAGCCCCGCACCGCTCGGTGCTCCCGGCCTCCTCTGGGCTCGGTGTGGGGCCAGCTCATGGGGCACCGCGGCTCCTGGGGGGGGGCAGCAGGAGTCCTCGCTGTTCTGCTGCGAGGTGAGGTTGTTCCCAGCTGTGAGGAGACCTCTCGCATCCAAACGCTTCAGAGCGAAGCGTCAGGTCCCCGCTGTTAGCACGTGGCTGCTTCCACCCCTCCGGTGAAGGGAACCCCGCTGTGGCTGCCCCACATCTGGGGGTCTGGGGGTCCTGCTGGCAGTGGCGGCAGGCGCGGGGCCTCGCAGTGCACGTCGGGCTCCTGCCTGCGGGATTTCGGAGGTGACTTCTTCCTCTGGCCTGGAGACACGCCGTGGGCTGCAGCAGCGAGCCGCGCCGCATTCCTCGGTGACCTGTGGGGTTTGCAGGATGTGTCAGAGCTCCAGCGACAGCGGGGGAGAGCCGGCTGTGCCAGGGCGGCCGGTGGCGCGAGCAGCCTCCGGTGGGAGCCGTACCCCGAGCCTCGGGACCTGGCGCGGCTCCTGCCCCGGCTGCTGGCAGGGAGGAGCTGCTGTCGCAGGCAGCTCGGGCCGGGGGACGCGTGGGGAAGTGGGGAGGGCGTTCAGAGGGGGGTTTCTTTTCAAAGCCGTGGCCGTGGCTCAGCCAGCTGCCTGCTCTGAGGCACGGGCTCGCTGATTCCCGGTGTGTTTTATGGGGCTGGCAGGATCGGCCGGGTCGCTGGCACCTCGGTGCTGCGTCTGGCCCCATAAAACCAGCGGGGTGCTGGGCGCTGGTTTTATGGGTGTGGATGATGCCTCCCCGACAGAGCGCCCCTGGCTGCTGCTTCCCAAAGGTTTTCCTCCTGCTTTCCTTCTCTCTGGATGTGGCTTTTTGGGTTTGCAGGGTCCCGGCTCGCAGGCGCTGCCGGCTGGCTTTGCTTTTTGGGTCGTTTCATGTTATTTTTTTTTTTTGTGGGTGCTCCAGCACCGTGCTGCTGGCCAGGATCGGGAGATTCTGCAGGGTATGCGTGGCCCCAGTTCGGTGGGGACTGAGCATCAGGAGCCCCTCAGCACCTCTCCATCCTTCCACCAGCTACAAAACAAGACCCCAAGATGGGATTTTGGGGCAGGGCCTGGCGGCCGAGGCGCTTTTCTGCTATCAGACAGCCAAGGAGGACGGTCGGACCCGCTCTCTTCTGATCTCATTTGCCTGTGTGTATTTGGGCAAAAGCTTCCTTTATTTTGGGGAAAAGGGATATTTTCCTCAGATTTTTTTTGCTTTGGGATGTTTTTCTCTTTGGACACAAACCAGTGTCAGAGAAGAGCCACGCAGGAGGAGAAATCTTTATGGAAAGAGCTCTGAGATTGGTGCTCTCGACGCTTTTGGCTTTTAATTAAAAACGTTAGTCATTCCTCGCTGTGTGCTTCGCCTGTGGCCTCTCGAATCAAAACAGCAGGCGCTGAACCCGCGTGGATCGCAGCCAGCCCTCGCTGAAACCTCTGCTGAGCGGATAAAACGCTCTGAAGGAACGCCTGCACGGACAAAGGGAACACCTCCACGGATGAGAAGCTCCAGGGACGTGGACTGCTCCAGGTGTGGGTGCTGCAGCGAGCACGCCGAGCCCAGCGGGTTCTGGTCCTGCTGAAGGCCGGGGAAGCGCTGAGCTTCTGCACGAGCCCGGGGATTCCCTGGAAGCGTGGGGATAATCCTCGGAAGGATTAGGAAGCGAGAATCGGGGCGCTCGTTAGCGTTGTGTAAATCAATCACACCCAACTCCTGCTCTGTCCGTGGCCGTTCCCTCATCCCCCACATGGAGATTTTGGGGACTGGAGGATTCCTGCGTGCGGGGTGTGAGTTGCCCCAAGCTGCACGTGCCCCGGCAGCAATTAGGGGCCCCGCGTGGCAGCGAGCGCGTCACGTCACAGCTTCATCTCCGGGCAGCCGGTGGCTTTCCTGGAGCAGAGGGAGCGCGGCTGCTCCGTGCTGTCATTAGCGGGAGGTTAATTACACACGTGGCGTGCAGGCAGAGCGGGTGGCTCCTGGTGGGGGTCTCAGGTTGGGCAGGTGCTGCCCTGGCCGCAGAGCCGTGCGCTCTCCTCTCTGCCAGCTTTTATTTTATTTTATCTTATTTTATTTTGTAAGTTTGTGGCTCGTAGATGGCAGAAATTCCTGGGATAGCCACGAAGCCGCGCGGGCTCGTTCCGCACGTGCAGGCAAACCAAACGCAAACAAAAGGGGGAGCTGCGGAGATGTGGAGGCGCAGTTGGGGCAGTGCCACAAACACGGCCCCGCGCCCGCAGAGTTCCCTCCCCGGGATCCCCGGTGCTGAGCACGGGACGGTGCCTCTGCCACCGGGCTCTGCGCCCTGTTTTGGTGCCAGGACAGTCCCAGCCATAAAGCGGGTGATGAGGGAGCTGCTGGGGCCGGGAGCCCCCTGCCAGGAGCAGACGGGGCAGCCCCCGCGCTGCCACCACCTCCCAGGTCTTCCCCCGTGCCACCAGCAGCGTCCCAGCCTCGCTCCGTGCTGCGAGCAGGGGGCAGGAGCCGCCTTCACCAGCCGCAGCCGCGGGGGCTGGCAGCCAGCTGCTGCTTTCGGTGCCTCCCTGAAGCTTTCCGGAGCCTTCCCAGCCCACCTCGGAGACCCCCCAGCAGCAGCAAGGCCTCCTCGGGACCCCCACAGCCCCCGGGGGATGCGCGGCGCTTCCTCGCGGCAGGGAGACCGGGAGGACCCCGGGTGGTCCCCGGGACACCCACGGCGCCGGGACGATCGCCGGAGTGGTGGCTCCACAGAGCTGCCCCCCCACATCCTTGGGCTCTTTTCTCCCCCTCCCTGCCCCTCCCCTTCTCTCTCTGGTTCTCATTTTATTTCTTTTGCCTCCCGAAGCCGATGGGATTGGGAAGGGCGATGGAAACGCTGCTCACGGAGCAGGTTTCTCGCGAGCAATCCCGGCTGTGGAGCTGCCGTGGTGCCCGGTGGCCGTGATGTGTTGGGGGGGGGCGCTGAGAAAAGGGGCGCCGGGGACCTCCAGCACGGGCAAATCGAGGCCCATGCCCTTTGTTTGCTTTTCCTTTCTTGAGGGATTCTGGCCTTTCCCAGGAAGGGCCCCCCGCAGGGAGCTGGCTGAAGCCCGGGGTGGTCTCCGGCTGTGCCCCCCCTGCGTTTTGCCCCCCAGGCGTGTTTTCCCTGCAGTGTGGTGGGAAGGGGCTGGCTCTGCTGGTGCAGCCTCGGAACACCGTTGTGGTGCAGCGGGCATGTAGGAACGGGTGCCCTGTAACCACAGCAGGGGAGTGGTGACGCCTGCCTTGCCCTGCAGCCCCCCCATTTCCCTGTGTCGGGGGGGACAGAGCAGCACGGGTCCTTCCAGCTGCCTTCTTCATCTCCTCTTCCTCCCTCAAGGGAAGGAGCGGGCCCTGAAGGACCTCCGAGGAACATCAGAGTCCTTCTGACTTGGTGATCTCCTCTCTGATCCGTTGATCTCTGGGCTGGGCAGCGTGCGGAACGGGAAGCCCCCCGGGCAGGGGGTGACGAGCTGAGAAGGCAGACTGCCAGCGGGGGAGGTGGGGAAGGTCCCTGCATTTCGCTGTAATTCGGGCCAAAGCCCTGTCCTGTCCCCAGCCTCTGCTCCCTGCCCAGCCCCGGGGAGGCCGCAGGTGCCGGGGTCGAGGAGCCGCGCGTTTGGCGAGGGCAGGAGCTCGTTCTGGACCAGGCGTGATCACCACCCTGTCACCGCCTTACTCTCAGGGTGGGCTCGTCTGGCTTCCCACCCAGCTTCTCTGCCGTGTCTGGTTTTGGCCGTGCTGCAGAAGCTCTGGCTCCATGGCCTGGCGCTGGCCCTTTCCGGAGAGGTGCCGAAGCTCCTTGTGCTGGTCCCTGCAGCCCGTGAATCACCCTTCGTGCTGAGCAGCTCCGCGCAAGCCGGGCTTGCTCATGGTGGTAGCCACCCGCTGCCTTCTCCGGGGCCCTCCTGCAGGTTGCTGAGCCCAGGAAGGATGAGGCCATGGCCCGGGGGGGTCAGGTCCCTGCCTCACCTCTGGGTCTAGCAGGAGCCCGGGCTTCCAGCTCCTTGCTCGAGCCTTCCCGATGCTTCCAGCTCTCCTGCGCTCCTCGCCGAGCCCACAGGAGGGGGAGCACTGGGGCAAGGCACGAGAAGAATTCGGAGGCTCCCAGGCTCGTGCAGGTGCCGCCGTCGTGCTGGAGGAAGGGTTGCTGGGGCTTCTGTCTGGCAGGTGGCAGGGCTGGATCTCAGGAGGCCGCGTTTCGCCCTCTGCTCCTCTTCCCGAGTGGATGTGAAGGCGGCCGCGTCCTGCCCAGCTGCTCAGGCTGGGCATCAGAGGCCTGGAGGCCGGAGCTGAAACAGGCTGAAAGAAGAAGGCACGGCCCTGAGGATGCTTGGGGCTGGCGGTGGCCGTGCTGGTGACCCCATGGGCACCTGGACCCTGCACGGCCCCTCGTGGAGCTCCAGGGGGTTCAGAGCCGCGGTGACCCCAGAGCGAGGAGCCTGAGCTGCAGGGGCTGGAGGCTCTCCATCGGGGGGGTTGGCTGCTTCTCCTCCCCCTCTGCTGTGCCCTGCTCAGACCACAGCTGGGATGTCCCCTCCGGCTGGGGGCCCCCGAGTTCCAGAAGGACGGGGAGCTGCTGGGAGAGCCCAGCGCAGAGCCAGGAGGACAAAACTTGTTCAGGGTGGGGGTGGCAGAGCAGGGAACGGGCTGCCCGGGGGTTCTGCAGGCATCCCAAACCCCCCTGGACGTGTTCCTGTGTGACCTGATCCCGGTGTTCCTGCTCCAGCAAGGGGATTGGGCTGGGTTCTCCAAGGTCCTTTCCAATCCCTAAAATTTGGGGTTCTGTGGAGCGACCCCAGCTGCACTGTGTGGCCCCCCCATGGGTGGTGGTGGGGTGGGGGGCAGCAGGTTGTGGGGTGCCGTGGCTCAGCGGGGAGCTGTGCTGGGCCCTCCACATCCACCTGCCCTTCCACTTGGTTTTGACCCCACGTGGATGTGTCGGAGGCACTGGGACAAGCAGTGCGAGCGGCTCGCCAAGAGAGGGGAGAAATTTGGGTCCCCCCCCGCTGGGGAGAGCAGCATCCACCCGCCCAGGGGCGTGGGAAGGTTGGGGAGCAGCCGATCCTTGATCCTCGGGGATCCGCTCTCCCTCCCGCCCGCAGCCGTTGATCCTGTTATCTGCAAACTGCCCCGGGGCTTCCCCACCCCAGCTTCTCAAAGGAGCCTTTTGTCTGTGCTCCTCTGGGGAAGGGCAAAATCCCGCACACGTGGGGCTGACTTCCCTGGGGGGGGTGATTCACCTGCCTCCCCAACTCCCTGTGAGGTGATTAAAGCCCCCGCTTTGTCACCTTATGTCTGGGGGGGGTCCCAAGGGCTGCCCATTACCTGTGGCCCCCCCTTTTTCGTGTCCCCCCTCTTCCAGTCCCCCAGCAGCTCCCCAGGGCCGTGGCATCGCCCGAGCCCCTCGGCTGGGGTCTGGAGGGAGCCCCAAAGCACCGAACTCCTGCCAGCGGCGCTGCCGTGGTGGCTGCAGAGCCTCGGAGCCTCCTCGGTCCCCTCCTCGGTCCCCTCCGTGCACCTGGCTGGCGGCTCCTTTGTGTTGGGGTGGGGACGTGGAGCTGTGGCTCTGCGCCGCCGCGACCGTTTTCTGCCGCCTTTGATGTCGGTGGGACGGGAGGGGAGCTGTGGGGCCCTGGGGACGAGCTGCAGGGGAGCTGAAACTGCCGCTGTGCGGGGCAGAGCTCAAGGTCGCTCCGTGGCAGCGCGAGGTGGCAAAGAGCAGGGCTGGGATGGGGCTGGGATGGGGCTGTGGGGCTGGGATGGGGCTGTGGGGCTGGGATGGGGCTGTGGGGCTGGTCCCATTGCTGGTCCCACTGCTGCGTGCTCCCAACAGCTCTGTGGTGGGTTGGGGGGCTCCCAGCCGAGGTCACCAGGCAGCCGGGTGCCAGCAGTGTCCCCGTCCCCACGGTTCCTCTGCCACCCGGGACAGCCCAGCGCTGTGCCCAGCCTGCAGGGCTGTCCCCGTGCTGCCTTGGTGCTGCCTTCCCCTCTACGTGCCAAGCAGGGCTGTGCAAAACGAAGCAGAAGCAGCAGGAAAAGCTGCAGCGGGCTCAGAAATAAGGGGTGGGGGGGAGACGGAGCCCCAGCAGCGTGTCGGGACGGGCGTTCAGCACAGCACAACGGGGCTGCGGGCTCCTGCCATGCCCAGGTCTGCGGTGCTGGGTGCAGAAGGCAGGGATTTGGGAACCAGCACGTTGTGAACTCCATCCAGGGGCTGTGGGACACCCGCCTGCTCCTAACCTGCTGTGTTCTCCCCCCCGCAGGTTTCTGGCGTCGGTGATGAGCAATGGGGTATGATGTAGCACGGTTCCAGGGGGATGTTGATGAAGACCTTATATGCCCCATCTGCAGCGGGGTCCTGGAGGAGCCAGTTCAGGTAGGTTCCCATCTCAGCACTGACAGTGGCTGCTTAAAAGCCTCTGGTTGCAGCCGCAGGCTTCTGGAAGTCTCGATCCACACACACACACTGACGGCACCACGCGCAGCCTCCGCTGAGCTCCGTGGGTCCTGCGCTGTCCTGGTAGCGGCACGGGTAAGGAAGCAGCAGCGGGGCCAAAAGCCTGAGGTTGTGTGAGTGCTGGGGAAACGCACCCAGTGCTGTGTTCAGGGGATGCTGAGAAGGGGAAGGAAGAGATAGCTCAGAGCCTGCACAGCCCTGGTGCTGCTGGCCGAGCGGAGCTTCTGCATGGACTCAGTGCCCCGGCCCCTGCCCTGCCCTTCAGGCTCTGTTTTCTGCCAGAGGCGTTCCTGCACCAGCAGAGCCGTGGCCGTGTCGAGCAGCTTGGCACCCTCTGCGTAAATCCAGCCTCATTTGAAATAAAAAGGATTCAAACAGGACTAATCTGATCTGAAACTCGGGCTTGCTGCAGCTTCGTGACTCACTAATGACCCCAATCGCAGAAGCTGTGACTCGTGCAGGGCTGCCCCGCGGGGATCCCGGCGAGGCCGAGGGCTGCGTGGCGAGGCTCGAGCTGTGCCCATGGGCTGGAGCGCGCAGAGCCGCGACCTGGCGGAGCTGAAGTGGTGCTGGCACCTTCCAGCCGTGGGGATCTGTGGTGTCAGAACAAGCTTGGATTTAAATAAAAATTAAAAAAAAAAAAAAGTGTCAGCATGTGAACACGATCACAGGCCGGCGCGCAGGAGGGAAAGTCCTGGCTCAACCAGATTTATTTAAATCTGCTTTTGAGAACGTGCTGCCTAAATCTCCCTGTTCCCAGGCTTTTCTCACACGCGCCGAGCAGCCTCTCGGTTGGGCACCGGCCTCCTGGAGCTGTGCTGGGGCTGCCTCTGTAGCTGGGCTCAGGACTCGCTCCTGAGCAGCCTTGAAGGCAGCAAATTCCTGGGCTCTGCCCCCCGTTTCTCCAGCTCTGAGTAACGCGGGGCTCTCCTCTGCTCCTCTCCCGGCAGGCTCCTCACTGCGAGCACGCCTTCTGCAATGCCTGCATCACCCAGTGGTTCTCCCAGCAGCAGACGTGCCCCGTGGACCGCAGCGTGGTGACGGTCGCCCACCTCCGCCCCGTCCCGCGGATCATGCGGAACATGCTCTCGAAGCTGCAGATCACTTGTGACAACGCTGTTTTTGGCTGCACGGCCGTGGTGCGGCTCGACAACCTGATGTCTCACCTCAACGACTGCGAGCACAATCCAAAGCGCCCGGTGACTTGCGAGCAGGGATGCGGGTGAGGATGGCCTCGAGGTGCTGGTGCGGCGCGGTGCCGCGGTCTCTTCCCTCCCTATGGCCCGTGCAGGAGGACAGGGGGAGGGCAGAGCGAAGGCGACAGCCTTGGGAAAAGGAAAGGAAAAGGAAAAAGGGGTACGGAGCCTGGGTCTGCTCTTGGCACCCCTTTGCCCTGTGCTCACTGAGCCCTGGGGGCAGCAGGGCTGCGAAGGCCGAGGCACTGCAGAAGGATTTTCAGCCAAACCCGTTTCCTTTTAAATCTGGTTCAAAGTCCTCAGCTCTTCGGCTTGTCGCCGGGGCTCGGGTGTTGGTTGGCTTCTGGAAACCGGGTGCTGGAGCCTTTGTAAACCTGCCCAGGGCCGTTCCAGCCCGGGACAAGCTCCAGCATCAGCTCTGCTCCCTCCTACGTGTCGCGGAGAGCTGGGAGCAGTGGGTGGCTGCTCTGGCCTTGCCCCTGTGCTCGGCTTGGAGACGATTGGATCTCCTAGGATGGAGTTGGACAGGGTCAGGCCCGTGGCTGCCAAACCCCAGTCACCTGGCAGAGCAGTCCCGCTGCCTGATGGGCTGGTGGAGCTTTGTTCTCGGGGTCCTCCCCTCCTAAACCTGCCTGCCCGGGCTTCCTGGGCCTCCTGACGAGTCTGCAGAGACGGATTCGTTCTGGAAGTTGGTGACGTGCTTGTGCCAAGTGCTCTGGTGCGTAACGTTCCCTAACGTGGGGCCTCCACCTTTCTGTAACGCTCTGCAGCTTGGAAATGCCCAAAGATGAGCTGCCGAACCACAACTGCATCAAGCATTTGAGGTCCGTGGTGCAGCAGCAGCAGACGAGGATCGCTGAGCTGGAGAAGACCTCAGCAGAGCACAAGCACCAGCTGGCGGAGCAGGTGGGTCCGAGGGGGCCGGGGACGACCCCGTGGTGGGACCCAAGTGCTTGCACCCCCCCGGAAGGGTCAGGCTCAGCCACGTGGGCAGCAGTTTGGGCACCACAAGCAATTTTGTGCCACCACAAGCAGTTTGTGCACTGCGTGCCCGAGCTGAGAGCATCCAGCTGCGGGGAGGGAGCTGAGCCGAGGGGCAGGGGCGAGTTTACCCCCCTGCAGTGCTGGGCTCTGCTCTCCTGACTCCAGCTGCTGCGCTGATGCCTGCCCCAAACCCCGCCGTGTTCTTCCCCTCACAGAAGCGGGACATCCAGCTGCTCAAGGCCTACATGCGAGCCATCCGCAGCGTCAACCCCAACCTGCAGAACCTGGAGGAGACCATTGAATACAACGAAATCCTGGAGTAAGTGCTGCTTCCTGCGGCTCGGGTGGGAGCTGGCTGTGACTCGGCCAGGGGAGGGGAGGCTGTGAGAGAAGAAAACGCTTCGTGTGCCTTCCCATCGCGGAGGCGAGGGGCGGTTTTGGGGTGTTTGTGCCGGGGAGCGGCGCAGGAGCTGTTTGCACAATCAGGTCCTGACCTTTTTTATTCTGCCACCTGCATCCTGCCCAGGAGCAGGAAGCTGCCAGATTCCTTCCTCCTTCTGAGAAAGGCAGGAGGAAGCAACTCCTTATCTGAGCCGTCCTTCCCCTCCCTCCTGGGAGGGAGAAAGGGCTCTGCTCGACAAAGCTGAATGCCGCAGCTGGCCCCTGTTTTGGGGTGAGAACGGAGGGAATTGGAGCTGGCATCCCCCCTCCACCCGGCTCCTGAGCGCAGAGCAGAGCGGGGGCAGAGCAGCTCCTCAGTTTCGGTGGCGCTGACGCTTTGTCCCCGCGTCTGTCCCCAGGTGGGTGAACTCCCTGCAGCCCGCCCGGGTGACGCGGTGGGGCGGCATGATCTCCACGCCGGACGCCGTGCTGCAGGCTGTCATCAAGCGCTCGCTGGTGGAGAGCGGCTGCCCCACGTCCATCATCAACGAGCTGATCGAGAACGCCCACGAGCGGAACTGGCCGCAGGGCCTGGCCACGCTGGAGACGCGCCAGATGAACCGGCGCTACTACGAGAACTATGTGGCCAAACGCATCCCCGGCAAGCAGGCCGTGGTGGTGATGGCCTGCGAGAACCAGCACATGGGCGAGGACATGGTGCTGGAGCCGGGACTGGTGATGATCTTCGCACACGGAGTGGAGGAAATCTGAAGGACTCGGGAAGAGAAACGCTCCGTGCTGCCGAGGGAGAGGAGGGGGAAGGTGGCGAGGCAGAGACTGGGGGGCAGCGGGTCCCAGCCGCTGGGGTTCCCCCCCTCAGACACGGTTTGTTAGGGCACCGCTCCCTCCACCCTCTTGCTTCCCAGCCAAAATGATTAAACGCCCCTGGTAAATGCTACTCAAACACTTGGCCCAGCAGCGACCGCACCGTGCAGCCCACCCGTCTTTGCCCCTTGCAGCTCAGCGTTCCCCATTTCGTGGCTCTCGGGGGGGGAAGAAAGAAGGAGCAACCTCCCCAAATAACTGCTGCCCCCCCCCGGGGTGGGAACACTGCCCCCCAGGCTCCGTGTGCCGTGGCTGTGGTGCTGTGGACGGTGGCAGCTCTCACGTAGCCGCTGCCTTGATCCTCCTCGGGCTTCATCTCCCTCTCTGCATTTTTCGCCTCCGTGCTCAGAAGTGTCCCTGCTGCTGTGCTGCTGGCCTGGCCTCCTGCCCCCCCCCCCCGACCAGACCGTACCTGGGGGGCAAATCTGGCGGGGAGAGGGGCAGAGGGGGGAGAACCTGCCCCGGGCATGGACTGAGCTGCCCCCACGCCCCCCCCAGCCCCCCCAGCCCTGCCCTTCCAGCTCTCCTCCAGCCTGGCCCCCCCGTGATCCTGCAGCCCCCTGGCACCCGGGGGGGGCTCCCACCCTCCCGCTGCCCCCACCCATGGGTGCTCAGCTCGGCTTCCTCCGCTGTTGCTGGTGTTTGTCTGCGGACACTCGTGATTGTGGTTCTGTATTTTTTTTTGTACTTCTCGCCCTTTTCTTGTTTGTATTCCCTCCCCCCCCCCCCAACCCCCTCCTATTTCATTTTTGAAGTACCGCGGCCGGGCCCCTCAGCCCCTGGTTACGTTTCCTTGTTGGGAATTTAATTTATTTGCATCCGTTTCGTTGTTTTTTACACTCCTTTCTCCTCCCGTGCCTGCAGTGCCCCCGTGCCGGGGGGGGCCAGGGCCGGGCCCCATCCCCAATAAACGCCGTTCTGGTTGCTTTACCCATGGGCTCAGGGTCTGCGTCCGCTCCTGGGGGTCCCAAGCTCCGCACCCAGCCCCCTACCGGGGGGGGCCCCCCCTGTCCCGACCCCGGCACCCCCGGGGGTCTGGGGGCTGCCCCCCCCCCGGTGCTGGGCTCCGGTAACCCCCCAGCCCCCAGTCCCCCCCCCCCAGGGCCTGATCTCGGCGCCGTTGCCCCCTCCGTTAAAAAAAGTGGGTGCGGGGGGTGGGAGCCCCCTCCCGGGGTGTCCCCGAGCCCCCCCCGGTGCCGTTGAGCGCGGGGCTCGCGGCCCCCCCGCAAAAGCAGCGCTCGCGTCACGGACAGGATTCGAACCTGTGCGGGGAAACCCCATTGGATTTCGAGTCCAACGCCTTAACCACTCGGCCACCGTGACTCCCGCGCCTCCCTCCGCCTCCCTCCGCCTAGACCCGGCCCGGAGCCGCCACCCGGCCCCGCCCGGCCCCGGGACCGGCCCCGGGACCCCCCGAACCCCCCCCCCCCCGCCCCACGCCGCCCTGGGGCTCTCCTCCCCCCTCCCCGCTCGTTTCCCCCCGTGGGCCCGCAGGGGGCGCAGCCGGGACCCGGCCCGGCAGGGGGCGCCGCGGCCGCGCCGGTACCGAGCGGGCAGCGGCGGAGCGGAGCGGGGGGGGGAGAGCGGGGGGGGGGGGGAGCGGGGCGGCCCCGCGCCGGCAGGGGGCGGGGCAAGGCTGCGCACTTTGCGTCCGGTAGGGCTCCGGGCGGCCACTACGCACTTTGCGTCCAGCAAGGGACAGCGCAGACTCTACGCACTTTGCGTTCGGTAGGAGGCAGTGCAGCGCTACGCACTTTGCGTCCGGTAGGGGGCGGTGCAGTCACTACGCACTTTGCGTCCGGTAGGGGGCGGTGCAGTCACTACGCACTTTGCGTCCGGTAGGGGGCGGTGCAGTCACTACGCACTTTGCGTCCAGCAGGCGGCAGCACAGCGCTACGCAGTTTGCGCCCAGCAGGCGGCAGTACAGCTACGTATTTTGCGCCCAGCAGCGCTACGCAGTTTGCGCCCAGCAGGCGGCAGCACAGCTACGCACTTTACGTCCAACAGGCGGCAGTGCAGCTACGCAGTTTGCGCCCAGCAGACGGCAGTGCAGCTACGCACTTTGCGCCCAGTAGCGCTACGCACTTTACGTCCGGCAGGCGGCAGTACAGCTACGCAGTTTGCGCCCAGCAGCGCTACGCACTTTGCGCCCGGCAGGCGGCGCTACCGGCGCGGCGCGGCCGTTGTGGCGGCGGGGAGCGGCGCGGCGGGGAGCGGCCCGGCCCGCTGGAAGATGGCGGTGCGGAAGAAGGACGGCGGCCCCAACGTCAAGTACTACGAGGCCTCGGACACCGTCAGCCAGTTCGACAACGTGCGCCTGTGGCTCGGCAAGAACTACAAGAAGGTAGCGCGGGGGCGGCCGCCTCGGGCCCGGCCTGTCACGGCCCCGCCGCCCCCCCCCGGGCCCGGCTCGGCGGGAGAGGCCCCGGCTGCGGCCCGCGGCGGGGCCCTGACCCCCCCCCCGCCTCCCCCTTTCCCCCCCCCCAGTACATCCAGGCCGAGCCCCCCACCAACAAGTCGCTGTCGAGCCTGGTGGTGCAGCTGCTGCAGTTCCAGGAGGAGGTGTTCGGGAAGCACGTCAGCAACGCGCCCCTCACCAAGCTGCCGGTGAGCCCCCGCCGCACAAAGGCGGCCCCCCCCCGACCGGGACCCCCCCCACACCTCCCCGCCCCTTCCCCCAGCCCCCGGGCACGGCCCCCCCCCGGCAGCGGGGACGGGGACGGCGCCTCCGTGACCGTGGGCTGCGGCCCGGGGACACGGGGAGGGCGGCTGGGGACGAGGGGACACGGGGACGTGGGGACGTGGGGACGTGGGGACGGTGCCCCCCTGCCCCCAGGAGCACCACGGCGGGGGGACGACACCGGGAGCAGGGGCAGCGCCTCAGGGGCCTGGGGACAGAAACCCAGGGACAATGGCCTTGGTACGGCCAGTGCCCGGTGCAGGGACCCTAACCCCACACAGGGACCCTGGCCCCACACAGGGACCCTGGCCCCACACGGGGACGATGCCCCGGTGAGGGTCTGTGCCCCAGCAGCCCGGGGACAGCCCCCCGCTGACCCCGGGGCCGTGCCCTGCTTGGCAACTGCCCCCCACCTGGGACAGCGCCAGACCGCAGACAGCGCCCCACTGACCTGGGGCCAGCCCCCCAGCACGGGGGCTTTTTGGCAGCCCCCCCCCCAGACCCCAACCCAGCGTCCGCATCGCAGCCCCAGTGACCCAGGGCCGGTGCCCCCGATGTGCTGGTGACAGCTCCCGGTGCCCCGGGCTGTCCCATGCACCCCCCCTGACCCCTCTCCTCCCGTTACAGATCAAATGCTTCTTGGATTTCAAGGCGGGGGGAGCCCTGTGCCACATCCTGGCAGCCGCCTATAAGTTCAAGAGCGACCAAGGATGGTGAGCACCCACCGCACCCCATTGGGGGGTCTGGGAGTGGGAGGGGGCTGGGGTGGGAGCTGTGGGGTCTGGGCGGGGGGGGGACAGAGCTTTTATCCCCTCTTTGGGAGCACGGGGGGTTGCCCCAGCTCGGTGGCTGCCTGGGCTGGGCTGTGCGTAGGTGGCTGGGCTGGGCTGGGCTGTGAGCTGGGGGATGTCCCCCCCCGGCCACGGAGCCCTGGGGGGGGTTCAGGCCCCCCCCCCCCGCCAGGCAGGCTGCGGCTGGCTGACGAGGAGACCGGAGCTGTGGCTTTCATGAGAGTCGCTCTTTTCTTCCAATAAGGCGGCGTTTCGATTTCCAGAATCCCTCGCGGATGGATCGCAACGTGGAGATGTTCATGACCATCGAGAAATCCCTGGTGCAGGTAAGGGGGTGCTTCCCCTTCCAGCCCCTCCCCCGGAGATCCCCCCCCCCCCGAGTCTGCCCCCATCCCGCTCAACGCTTTGCTCTTCATCCCCAGAACAACTGCCTGGCCCGGCCCAACATCTTCCTGCACCAGGAGATTGAGCCCAAGCTGCTGAGCAAGCTGAAGGACATCGTCAAGAGGCACCAGGTTGGTGGCAGTGCTGGGGTGGGGGGGGCCCATCCGAGGCTGCGTCGCGGTGCTCAGCCCCGCGCTCCCCCCTCCTTGCAGGGCACCGTGACCGAGGACAAGAGCAACGCGTCCCACGTCGTCTGCCCCGTCCCCGGGAACCTGGAGGAAGGTGGGTGCGAGCCTGGGGGGCTCAGAACCGATGGGGAAACATCGGGGGGGGCAGTGCTGGGGGCTGGGCTGTGCCTGGCCTTCGGGGCAGCTCCCCCAGGGGCAGTCGGAGCCGTGGTGGGGGCCGTGCCCAGCACCGTGCCCTCTGCCTGTGCCTTGTAGAGGAGTGGGTGCGGCCGGTGATGAAGCGAGACAAGCAGGTGCTGCTGCACTGGGGCTACTACCCCGACAGGTGAGGGGGTCCCGGGGGGTCCCGGGGAGCCACCGCTCCGTGCTGGGGCTGGGGGACATGGCTGCAGCCTAATGGGATGCCCCCGCTCCCCCCTGCCCCTGCACCCGCAGCTACGACACCTGGATCCCGGCCAACGAGATCGAGGCCTCCGTGGAGGACGCCCCGACACCGGAGAAACCCCGGAAGGTGATGGGGACCCCCAGGCCCAGCTGGTGGCTGTGGATGGACCCCCCCCCCTGTCCCCTGCCCACCCTGGGGGTCACCGATCCGTCCGGGCCCCGCCCGCAGGTCCATGCCAAGTGGATCCTGGACACGGACACCTTCAACGAGTGGATGAACGAGGAGGACTACGAGGTGACCGACGAGAAGAGCCCCGTCGCCCGCAGGAAGAAGATTTCGGCCAAGACACTGACGGATGAGGTCAGAGCGGGGCGGCTGCCCCCGGGGGACGCATGGGGAGGGGGCTCTGCCCTGGGGGGGGTCCCAGTCCCGTGCCTCATGATCCCTGCGTCCTCCACAGGTGAACAGCCCCGACTCGGACCGGCGGGACAAGAAGGGAGGCAACTACAAGAAGAGGAAGCGCTCGCCCTCGCCCTCGCCCACCCCAGAGGCCAAAAAGAAGAACGCTAAGAAGGGGTGAGCCTGGGGGGGGCAGCGGGGCCGGATCCAGCCCCAGGGCAGGGGCTGTGGGAGCCTGGCTGTGATGCTGATGGGGCCGGGGGGGCTCTGGCTTTCACAGACCCTCCACCCCCTACAACAAGTCCAAGCGTGGGCACCGCGAGGAGGAGCAGGAGGACCTGACGAAGGACATGGACGAGCCCTCCCCCGTCCCCAACGTGGAGGAGGTCACCCTGCCCAAAACAGGTCAGGGCTGGGGCCGGCAGTGTCCCCACGGGGCCGTGCCTGTCCCAGCGCCCCGGCGCTCAGCGCCTCCTCCCTCTGCTGCAGTCAACACCAAGAAGGACTCGGAGTCTGCGCCCGTCAAGGGGGGCACCATGACTGACCTGGGTGAGTCCGAGCCCCTCGGGCTGGGCACTGCGGCCAGTCCCTGGTGCTGCCACGCCGGCGGTGCCCAAAACTGCCCCCGTGTCCTCTCTTCCAGATGAGCAGGAGGACGAGAGCATGGAGACAGCCGGCAAGGTGAGGCCACAGGGCTGTGCCAGCCCTCGGTGACAGCAGCCCCGTGAGGTCTTTTCCCTGCCCAAGGGACCCTTTTCCCTTCTCCAAGGACCGTGCTCCCCGCTCCAGAAACAGAATCAGCACTGTAGGACGGTCACCTCTTTTGTCCCTCTTCTGGGGACAAAAAGGCCCCGTTTGCTGGCATATTAGAGGGTGTCCAGAGCAAGGCCACAAAACTGATCCTGGGGCTGGAGCAGCTGCCCTCTGACGAGGGGCTGGGGTTGTGCAGCCTGGAGAAGAGAAAGCTCTGGGGGGGCCCTGTACAGGGGGCTTATGGGGAAGGTGGTAAAAGGCTTTTCCCTGAGGTCTGTAGGGATAGGATGAGGGGAAATGGCTTCAAAAGGAAAGGGTAGATGGGGGTTAGGTGTGAGAAACGGGTCTGT